AATAGCCTATTTAGAAGAAAACTTTTAAGATTTGGCTTGAATAGAGCTTTCTTCAAATCATATCACTTATCAGTTATAACCACATAAACTTCAAAGTTGAAAAGTTAAAGGTCTGAAATGACCACCATGGGAAAGCATCCTCAATTTGGGTTTGTACATTAAATTAGATTCTTTCTGTACAATTTTATAGGAATTGTTAGATACATTAGGGACCATTACAATAAGCAGAATATCATGAAAATATTCTACTACCAAGCTTTGTTTCCATGAGCGAGTGTTTTGTTAGATTTCTTTGTTTTTGTTGTTCTGTTTATTTTAAAACTTTTATTGGCACATTTGCAGTACACAATGATCAGATTCATCGTGAGGAGTTGGTACATGTACATAATGCATCTTAATTCTTTTTACTTCCCCTTTCTCTCCTTTTCCCCCTTCATCTTTCATTTCTTTTGAAATTTAATGAATAGAACACCACAAATGGAAAAAATTTCTATTAAAATATGTTTTTTTTAAAAAAACTACGTTATTCTAACCATTCAAATGTGTCCTCCAGAACAAAGAAAGGGTATCCCTCTATTTTTTCCTATTAATCAAATTTATGCCCAACTCAGATTATAAAATAAGTATACAGGCTTTCTCAAAATATTCTTTCTCTTAGATATTTGAAGTCAAAAGTTACAAAGATCAGAGGATTTCCTTGTTACTACAATAGCAATTGTAAAAATATAATAAATGCCTAAGAAAACCCTGGAGATGGAACATACCCAAGGTGGAAACATTTCAGGGATTATATTTCAACCTTCTCTTTTCATGTGGCAAATGATTTGCTTCCCTCAGAAAGTTGGAGGGGAAACTAGGATGATAAAACTGTCTTGCTGCATTCCATCAAGTCAGGAAATTTAAATATTAAATGATAAACAACAGGTTCTGAAAATCTCTTATTACTTAAAAAAGATCCAGTAATAATAAAATCAAGGATAATTATTAATATTTAAAGTGCATTTATTTAGTCCTCAGGCATTGCACACAATAAGTATGAATTAATTAACTCATTTAATTCTTATAACTTTGTATTTCTATTTTAACAGTTGAGTCCATTTCAGCTAGAGAGGTTGTGTTACTTGTGCAAAGCCACCCAATTGTGTAGCCAGGGTACCAGCCCAGGCCCTAGATCCAATTCTCTAAACCTTTCACTATATTATTGAACCTGAATATTAAAAAAAAGAAACCTAACATATTCACTTTCATGAGAAACTAGTTAGAAAATAATATAAAATCTGAGGATTATATAGATCCCTCACAGTAAAAGATGGCATTTAAATACACAAAAGACTTAGATCTTCAAATTTAAATCACAAATAACTGAGAGTATAGTTTGCCAAAAACGTTTGTCACCACAGTAACAAAAACAGCATGGTATTAATGGGCAAAAACAGACAGGCAGACCAATGAAATAGAATGAAGACACAGAAACAAACATACAACTATGGACATCTCATTCTTGATACAGGGATGAAAAACAAACTTTGGGAAAAAAGTTTATTTAAGAAACAGTGCTGAGAAAACTGGATATCACCATGCAGAAGATTGAAACTAGATTCCTATCTCTCACCTTATACAAAAATCAATTTTAAAATGAAAGAGAGATCTATGTACATATAAGACCAAAACCTTTAAAACTACTAGAAGTAGACATTGGACAAACACTGAAGCCACAGGCATGGGCAAAAAATTCCTGAATAAGGTACCAATAGCATATGAAATAATAGCAAGAATCAACAAACGGGGTTGCATCAAAGTAAAAAGCTGCACAGCAAAGGACACAATTAACAGAGTAAAGAAATAACCCACAGAATGAAAGTAAATCTTTACTAGCGACTCTTCTGCCAAAAGATGAAGATATAAAGAACTCAAAACATTATCAATATTCAGTAAATGGGCAAATAAATTGACTAGACACTTCTACAGAGAAGTACAAATGGCCAATAAGTATAAGTAAAAATGTCCACCATCTTTAGCCATTGGGGAAATGCAAATCAAAACTACACTGAAATTCCTTTTCACCCCCAGATATCAGAGTAGCTATCATCAAGAATCCAAAAAACAAGCTGGGCATGGTGGCACCCACCTGTAATCCCAGTACTCTGGGAGACTGAGGCAGGAGAACAGCATGTTTGAGTCCAGTTTGGCAACTTTGTGACTTAGGAAGACCCTGTCTCAAAACTTTTTTTTAAAAAAAAGGACTGGAAATCTGGTTTAATGCAAAGGTCCTGGATTCAATCCCCAGTATTGCCAGAGAAGAAGGAGAAGAGGAAGGAGAAGAAATAATAACATTGGTGAGGATGTGGGGGAGGGATAAGAAATCTTTCTACACTATTGGTAGGAATGTAAACTAGTACAACCAATAGAAATCAGTGTGGAGATTCCTCAAAAACCTAAAAACAGAGATATTGTTTGACCCAGCTATGTCACTGTTATGATTTGGGTCTAGATTTCCCCCCAAAGTCTCATTTGGTCATAGGCTTGATCAAGAGTGTGTGAAGCTGCAACTGATTCATGATGCAATGCTAGGTTCAAGGGCACTGGGATTAAGGGTATGAGTGCTACCCGCCCTAAGTAGTCTGAGTAAGGTAAAGGGGGCAGGGAGACACTGTTAAACTTCTCTTGCTACCTTTGCTACTGTGTGGGCACCATGTTGTTTCTCCTCTGTGATGCTTGTTTGCCATCCCAGCCTTGGAGCCAGCCAATTATGTACTGAAACCTCTATGAACCGTAGGCCAAATAAACCTCTTCCTCTCTAACTTTTGGTGCTGGGTATTTTGTCTCAGCAATGAGAGAAAAGTAACCAACACAGGCACTTTTCAATATATTCTCCAAAGAATTAAAGACCGCATACTATAGTCATACTTTCATACCCATGTTTATTGTGGCACAATTCATAATAGCTAAGCTGTAGAAACAACCTCGATGTCTGTCAACTAAAGGAAAAAGTGGGGTATATATACAATGGAATATTAGCTATAAAGAAAAAAATCATGCCATTGGCAGGAATATGGCTGGAACTGGAAACCATCATGTTAAGTGAAATAAGCCTGACTCAGAAAGTTAAATATCACATGTTTTCTCTTATATGAGTAATCCAAAAAAAAAAAAAATGAAGAGAAGACAAGAAAGCAGAAAGTAGACTATATGAGATAAAGAAGAGAAAGAGAGAGAGAAGGAGGTGATGGAGCCAAAATAACAAAAATATGCCCTATGCTTTTATCACTTCACCAAAATGAACTTTATTATTCTGTATTTCTAATATGCACTAAGAAAATAAATAATTCTAAAGGCAAAGAAGTTTATGCCAATGCACGATGAACCTATATGTGAAATCACTAACTATAAAAAAACTGTCAAATTACCTGATGCCTATTAACGAAGCTTCCATATGGATTCCACTTTTTAGCTGATTATTTGTCAAATGATAATATATTTAAAATTGGTTGCTGCTTTTCTTCTGTTTCATGGTATATTTACATTTTTGTGCCCCATTTTAGTATCTATTTACACATGTTTGTCTTGCCATTTGCTCCTAAGGACACAAACCCTATACTTTTCAAATTTATGCTAGTACAAGCTAAAAAAAACCAGTTAATAGAATTGACAGTTAAAAGAGTTAATAGAGTTAATATAGTCCTAGTATTTGTTAGAATAAGCATATAAAATGTTTTAGAAATTCTTGTTCCATTCATATTTTAAACAAGAAATGTTTTAATAATGATTAACTATTATTGTTCATTTCTCATGATAAGATACACATGAATTTTCTCATATGGAACAGTGGGTAAGAGCTCAAAGATTGGAGTAAATCTATCTGGAATCAAATTCCAGCCTACCACTTAGTAGCTCTTACACTTGGGTAAATTACTTCAACCCTCTTTCCCTCAACTTTCTCATGCAGAAACTGAGAATGACAGTTACATGATCTGGTTTAGATTGGAATGTCCCCCAATTCCTCATGTGTTCAGAGGTCGGGTTTGGGAAGGCGATCGAATTATGGAGGTGCTAAAGTGACTTACTGTTGGGAGGTGGGATCTGATTGGGGGAGGTGGGTCACTGAGAGTGTGACCCTAACAGCTGTATTTCCTTCCTCAACTCCTTCTCTTTCTGTTTCCTGGCCACCATGGCATGAATACCTTTCCTCCATCCAGGGCTTCCCACCATGCCATTTCTGCCTTGGAGCTAGCTAGCTGACCAGGGAATGAAACAATGACCCAAAATAGACCTCTCCTCCTTTAAACTTGGGTGTCAGGTTTTGTGTTCCAATGATGTGAAATTGGCTAAGATATTATACCTCTTATATAGGGTTTCAAAAGGATTAAATGGGTTCATTTATATAAAATGCCTGACAAACAACTCAGTATTGTTTGGGACATGTTCACTGTCATGGTCATCATATCACCAATGCTCAGTGTAATCCCTGGAGTAGGGTAGGCTTTCAATAAGCATCAAACTAACTTCAGTTCCTAAGAAAATGTAAGAAATGTTTCTTTATCCTGAAATGTTCACAGACATCGATGCCACATTTACACCCTTGTAGATCTCTCTTGGAAGAAATTTCAGGAACAAGGATTGGTTTTGCACATAATTGATTTCATTTTATCTCAAGGAAGTGAACAAAACACTTTCACTGTATAATTAATGGAAAAAAATCAGAGGTACCACTAGAGGGAGCTTTGGTTTCAAAGGTTGCTAACGATAAAGTTGCCATCTGTACAGATATATTAAGTTTGTTCATTGATTCGGTCACTCACAATCAGTCTCTGGAAGGACCGTTTATAGGAAAGAGGAGAGAAACAGGCGGGGGTTGGAGAGAGAGAGAGATTTCAGTGAAACTACTTGGAAAACTGTAAATAAATGAAAATATTTTCAGGGCCTTACAGAGAACTTCATTCTTCCTACTCTCCAAGGATGAGAGTGGAGGTTCTGTTGTCTGTCTGTCCCTGCTGAGTTACCTGTGTCTTTGCTCCCGTGCTGTACAGGCCAGCAGTCCTTCCCATGGCAGCCGCACTTGGGATACAGAAGAAAAATGAAGGAATCACGTTGCTGAGGCCATGGGCCAAAAATTCCTGCAAGATTGATAATAGGAGAATATATCACTTCTTGATCACAGTGGACTTTCAGATTGTGAAAGAATGAAGCTTGTTGATATTCAATTTCTGTTCTCCTCACCAGGTGCGATATAATAATTAAAAGGAAAACAGTAAGCATTTATTGAATGCTTGTAATAAGCAAGAAACTATTCTAAACACTGTACTTCTCCAATACTCATAGCACTCCTATAAAGAAACGCTATGCATTTATGCTCTTGTGGCCAACTTGTCATCTTTCAAGTCACTATAATCAAGCTTTTATTCCCACTACTCCACTAATGATCTCCACAATGCTACATCGAATCGCTAGTTCTTATCTTACTTGATCTAAGAGTCATTTGACACAGTTGCTAATTTTTTTCCTCCTTAAAGGCTCCTTCACTTAGCTTCTAGGACCTCATACTCTTATGGTGTCCCCCTACCTCACTGGCCACTTCCCAATTTCCTTTATGATTCTTTCTTATCTAACCAATTGCAAATATTGGACCATTTCTCTTCTCTAGCTACACTGTAGCTACCCAAATATGTATTGATAACTCCCAAATTCATATCTGCAGCTTGGACCATTTCTCTGAACTTCAGAATCATGCAGCCATATAAATGCTACTAGTTACTATCTGGACTTGAAGACTAACAAGTTTTTCCACCTTATTAGTCCAATCTATGGATCCCTACCACCCCACCCTGGCACTTTCAAGTCACTCCTCATCTCAAGTTCCAGTTGCTTAGGCCCAGAGCTTCAGACTTATTCTTGACTCCTACCCTGCCTTTGCCCAGATGGCATCCACATCTGGTTCAAAACCCACTCACTATACTCTGGTCTAAGGCATCACCTCTCACTTGAAGTATTACAACAGTTTGCCTGCTTCTGTTGTCAGTAAGCATAAACAAATATCCCCGCTCTCACTCATCTGTGGCTCTGGTGTGGGAATGCAGACAATAAACAAAATAAATATGCTATGTAAAGTAGAGGAGAACATGGGGAAATCGGGAATGTGCAATTTTAGATTACCAAAGGCATTCCTGAAAAATTTGAGTAAAGGATATAGGCAGATATCTGGAAGAATAGAGTTCCTGGAAAATGGAAGAAGTACAAATGCGCTGAGCCAGAATTGAGACTAGTGAATTCAAGGAAAAACTGCGTGGTACAGAGGGAAATAAAAAACTGTGTGGTACAAAAGGGAAATAAAGCCAGAGAGCAAATGAGATAGTGGTTGGACATGGAGAATCCTACAAACCATGATGAGGCTTTTGAGTATGATGGGAAGCCACTGAGAAGTTTCAAGAGAAAGATATAGTCTGTATTGTGTATTAATGTATCCTTGTACCTAGGCCCATGTCTGGCACATAGTATGGCCCAATGTAATACATAGAATGATAAATATATTTTTCACAGGTGAGAAAACTAGGGCACAGTAGGCATTAAGGTCACATAGTATCAGAGTGAGGTTTGCACACAGGTAGTTAAGCTTTCATAACTACTATAGTGCAGTTTCTCTTCAGACCTGTGCTGCTTGGTTGACCATGATGCTTGAAGCAAGACACTGGAAAAATATTTCAGGGAGAAAAATAATACAATCTACAGGCTTATGTATTCTAAGACTAAATCTTCATGTCCTCAGTACCTAAGTAAGAAAAGTAAAACTAGTTTCTAATCTGAAATCCATATGTTTTTGAAGTTAGCATGATATGATAACTACATTCAAATTTATTCTCTCCTAAAAACAAAACCAAAGAACATCTGTCTTTAGAAAAAAAAGTATTATGAACCAATGTGTTTTGTTCTGCCCATTCTTTCCATACAGTTAGGAAAGTCATATTTTTCAAAGGTTCAACTCTTCGGGATCTGAGAGTGTGCAGGACAATGATAGGACAGGAGTGAAGAGGGGCTGTGGCACACTCCACCTGGTTATCATCCACTGAATATTTGAATTTTTTGGCAGATCCTTGAGCAAGAGCCAGTGAGGCCACATAGCCTACAAGAGCAACTCCAAAAGCTTCAGTGACTACTGCAGAGAAGATGTTCATCGGAGGAGCTCGTGGTGGAGGGATTCTGTGAAGAGAAAGACCATACAGAAGTACCAACCTTCAGGTCATTTCTGTAACAACTGGCAATAAACTCAACTGTGATAATGATTCTGAAGTTTACATAGAATAAATGAACTAACTACCTAGAAGAAAACCCAGCAGCCTTTCCATGAGAAGCCCTTTGTTTTCAACATTATTTAGCAGAAAAGCAAAATTATAAGAAAATCCTAGGGACAGCTCCACACTCTGACATTTCTATTAGAGAATTCAGGTTACACTGAAGAAACTAACTTGACAAAAAATGTCCTGTATGGGAAACAAAAGCAAATCTGGAACGTTCTTTCATTCAAACATTTCCAAATATTTATTTGGTTGGTATTTGAGATGTATTTCTTCCCTTGGATACTATCTTACTGTGTGCAAACATTACTGTGAGCTACAATTCTTGAGTTAATCTCTAAATTTGCCTTTGATTTCATTATCTTAATTCCATTTTTAACTCAATCCTTTCACAGTATACTTGACCATGGTTTGCGTATGTTAAGAAAAATATGTAGAAAGATTCCAACTCTGTTGCAAACTATAGGACCACACTTAGCTGTTTCTTTGTCTCAAAGAACTGTTTAAAACGTTTCTCAAATAATTTCCATCCATTGTCTTATTGTCCTTTGAAGCCACTTTAAGCCTAAAAATCATCATTTCTGTATCCTAATGATTCTTTGGGAGATTTACCAAAAACAAAAAAAAAGTAGAACTTTTGTTTTATGAAAATTGAGTATGCCTAATTACTATAATTTGCCTTAAAAACAAACGGACCTAAAATGAAACTGTAAATAAAAATTCAAGTTGATTTAAACAATCTTCATTACCATATATCTACCTAGTCTAGTAAAGACAGAAATTTTTATTATTATCTTTTTAATTCCTGAGAACTTTTCTACTGTTTTTCTAGTTTAATGTTGTTTAAAACCAAAACTGGGGGTTGGACAATAAAATTTAGGGAATCCAACAAATGTTAACTTTGTTCCAAATTTATCTGTATTGGTATATTTCATCCATTAAAACGAAACTTCTCTCTCCATAATTTGCCTTCATTTTCTTTCAGTTTGTATTTGGAATGACTTTTTTCCACCTAGGATGAACATTTCCTCTTTTGTTAAAGACCCTAGGATCTAGAGCAAGGCTGTGTGCAGGAGAGGGGCCATGACTTCTCGACTCTATCGTCTCTCTGGTCATTAAGCACAGCCTGTGGTATTGTTGTTTCATATGATACCTTTATTCTGAGTTAAGTAAAAGAAAACAGTCATATGTGGGATGAATAGAGGTGATTAAATTCCAGACAATGCTTCTTATTTACAAATACAATACCCTCAATTTTTTCACATAATATCTTTGCAAATCTTTCTGTTCAAATCTTTCACCTAAAGCAATACCATATAAAAGAGTTATCAATTTACTTAGTAATACGTAAATTCCCTATTACAAAGTTAGACACATGGAGCTGTCCCTGGGAAATTACTATTTCCCTAAAATGTAGTGTTGTTTTCAATCATTTTATAATAGAAATTAATTAGAATTCTGTCTCATATAGGCCAGAAAGAAATAAATCCATATCCACCTACTCCCAGTCTCATCCTCCATTAAAAACAAACAAACAAGTAATATATAGTAATATGAAAAGACTACATTACCCTTTTGGAATATGACCAACCACTTCTAATCCATATGTATGTTCCATATTGGTACAATAACAAGCAAATGATGCTGCAATAATCTGTGTGGTTTCGTTTGAAAAAAGAAAAATAATTTATTACTGACCTTTCAAACATTTTAAAACTATTTCAATAATTTACAATCTCAAATTTAGATGATATCAAGCATTAAAGCTTTTCTAATATTCTTCACTACATCAACCTAGTTTTGTCCAGTTTTGAGGGAAAACAAAATACGGATATGGGGGCAGTGCGTGTGTGTGTAAAGACACCACAATCCAACCTAAATACTTGTCTTTCATGTCATAAAGGAATGCTTCTTAAGACCAGACATTTTTCCCTTCATGACAATAAGCTCTTCAGAATTTGAGATATTGCATTAATTCTCCTAAACTATGATGCTAATTAATGATGATTTACAGTTTCCTTGAATATTTTTGAATTTTGATCTTTAACTATTCCTTGAAGTAAAGCATCACAAGCTTTTAAGCCAAGTGCTTTTTAAACAACACGTGGAGTCTCAGCTACTGTGTCACTTGTTACTGATGTGCTGATCTGGATCACAGTTTCTCTGCTTGTACCCACAATCATTATTCAAATTCATAACGGAGTCAGTTCAGCTTTTGTTTTACAAGCCATACCACCATAGTATTTGCTATCCACTTTCACATTTTCTTTTCTTTCTCCTGGTAATTTTAATAGTTACTAGAAATTTCATATGGTTATGGTATCAGTTTGGAATGGTTTATCTTATTAAAAGAGATAAATCAATTATTTAATTAAAGTACAAATTTATTATATACACATCCAGAAAAAAAAGAGTAACAAAATCAGAGTAGCAAAATAAGAAATTTTTAACAATAATGCCCAATAATATTATTTTGTAGCGTTTTTCTATCTATGCATTTCTGTTGCTTAATTGAATTTGTAGTAGTTTCCAAAATATCAAATGGGCTTTAAAAGCAAAACATCTTTCAGGATTTTAAAAAAGAGAAAAAACAACAAAACTTCCCAGGTTATACTGTTAAACTGCATAAATATTGTGATATAATAATAATATTTTCCAAGTCACTGAATTAATCTTTCAGACAGTGTCTTACTTTTTCACCATGTTTCTTTAACATAAGTAAATTTTCTTTATCACTTAAGTCATTGGTCCTTCTCAGTATTATTTTAGTATCATATATGTATGCAAAGCCTGTACTGTCCTTAATCCTGGGCAATAGAGGATCCTGTCTTAGGTGGGCTCAGAGCTCTAAATGTAATCCACCCACTAAGATGGGAGCTTTGTAGGCAGGAGGATGTGCCCACCTTAAACTTGCTCTAATCTTGCTGAACCTCAATACACAAGAATCTATCATTTCTGCCCAGATGGCCCCCAACCTGCTTGTAAGGCATCTTCCTTATGTCCCAATGAAGGCCAAGAAGGCAGTTGTGGTGGTAGAGTGGAAATGTTTTGGAGTTTAGACCTGGGATAGGGACACCTACATGTAGACATGTGAATCCCTTTGTGGGTATGTGTGATAGTTCTTAAATGTCAATTGATCGATCAGATTAGGAGCTGCTAGGAGATTAGTACAGAACACCTCTGGGTGTGTCTGGGTGGGTCATTAAGGAGTGACCTTGGGATGTATATCTTGTGCCTGGCTCCTTCCTCTCTGGGACTGTTCCCCTGCTCTGCTTCCCAGCCTCTAGGAACTGAGCAGCTTTGTTCTACCACATCTTTCTGCTATGATGTTCCTGCCTCAGAGCTAGCTGACCATGGCCTGACTCCTCTGAAACTACAAGCCAAATTAAATCTCTCCTTCCTTAAGTTACAGATACTTGATATTTTGCCCAGCAACAGGAAAGGTGACCAATACAGTGGGATAGGGCTGGAGTGGGGGATGGGAAGGAACAAACCTAAAGGTTGGCTCACCTTAAGCTTCACATTCTGACAGAGCTCAAAGGAGTAGGAGAATTCTCCACCTAAGCTGATTTTCCAGGTCATCATTTAGGTACAGTAATCAGTGTAGAAAACCAGAAGCTGTTTTATTTGATATTTTGATCTATAACTTTTAAGTATTTGGATTTCTATTGATGTTTTTGCCTTGGGTCTTGCAATTGTCACACTGTATAAAGAATACCTTTTATTTTAAGAATAATTCCTACTCATTTTGCAGAGAATAGAAACTCTTTTATTAATAGCTCAAAGGCCTTCTTCCCTAAGTTTGCTTTCGGTGTTTGGTTTTATGAAATTTATATACCTTCTCAAGATAAATAGACATTTTTTAATATCTGCAGAACTTTACAATAAGATGATACACTTCAGAGTTGTAACTGTGAAAACTAATAACTATAGTACTCTGTGATTTTATAACATATCTGAAATATACACACAGACTACATATGTTATATGTATCTTAACCAACAGTCAGGAAAATACCATCATGGATTGGCTAGCCATAGGGAAAGTCCTGCTTCATTAGAGCTACAAAAATGTGTCATATACTTCAGAAGCAGATTTCAATGTTCCAGCTTTAATAAATGTATACAGACCTATACTATTTAACAGTATAAAGGTTATTTAATGGATGAAATTATTTAGACATTCTTTGTAATATACAAAAACCATTAAAAAACTAAAGCCAATTAATGAGAAATAAGTTAGTAGACTATGGTTGTACTAACATTTCATTTTCAGTTGAATACTTTAAGAGTTCCTATTAAGGCTCTTAAAATTTCAAAGCACAAATTTTAATACCATAAACCTTGGGATCAAGATATAAGATACTGATATTCCAAACACAACAAAAAATATTTTAAAGAACCACCCTGGCCAATGAAAATCATGAGCATCTCTTTGGTAAAGCAAAATTAGGCCAGTAACAAAAGTATGAACAAAGCTACCAGTTATTCATGGACATTTGCCAATTGAAAATATTTCTATGAATATCATAGAGGTGTCATATCAATAAGGTGTGGTATGACATTTTATTGCTTTATATAGGATCATGCCAGAAATCTTTTGAGTCTCACCCTTAGAAATGTCTCCTTATAAGATCTTAGGCTTTATATTCTCTTATTCATATAAAAAATTAAAAGCATATGAGAAATGCAACATAAATTGAAAACACATGTACCTCCTTTTTTAAATTATTAACTCAAAATGTTTCCTGTTCTTACATTAATGTATAGCCACGCAAATTAGCCCTTCTTTAATGAAACACAGAAGTATCTGTGGGTTGCTGTAGACATTGTAGTAAGCATCTGTGGATTACTCCAACTGGCAGGCTTAGTACAGCAGAAAGCTAAATGTTGATTTCATACTTACCAAAACTAAATCGACAGGGAGAACAACTTTAATTTTCCTTTTAAACTGTTCATTGAGCTCTTTAACAAGAACAAGAACCACAATGCTCAGCAAGGATAAGAGCAGTGCTTCCAGTTGGACAGACTTGATGTTTTCAAAGACATATGCATAAATCTACAGTAATGAAAAAGAGCATAAACAGAATTTAGGGGCATCCACAATATACCAGCATGGAAATCTGGCCTCAGATAAACTCAAAGATTTTTCATAAAAATGCCTCAATGACTGCATGATGGGAAAGTAGGAAGGAAAAGGGTGATCACTGCTGAAATACAGCAAAAATACATATGGGTGTGATCGACATATATGGTGAATGTTTAGTTATTTGTTTTTTGGGTTTTTTTAGTACCGGGGATTGAACTTGGGACCTTGAGCTTGCGAGGCAGGTGGCCACACCACTGAGCTAAATCCACAGCCCTGTTTTAATATTTAAAATGTGAAGACACTTTGCCATTAATGCCCCTCAAAATACTCCCCCTAACTTTGAATACACTTATCCCACTATTCTTGAAACTTTCTGAAGCAGTTCTGGAAGTCTTCTTTCTTGAGTGTCTTAAGGAAGTGTGATAAAAAAATACTGCAAGTGCTGCTGCCAAATGACATTCAATGGAAAGGCAGACTCATGAAAACATTATGGTAGGTCCTCATCCACTTCATTCATTAAATCTGGCACTGTGCAACTTCTGGTTCTTCCCTAAAGTCAAAATGACCATGAAAAGTAAGTTTTAAATTGATTCAGGACATTGAGGCAGCCACAACAGTGCAACTAAAGAGTAAAGACTCTCTCTGGAAGTTCTAAAGAGAACTTCCAGAACTGCTTCAGAAAGTGGCAAGAATGATAGATACGTGTTTTTAAGGAAAGGGAGTATTTTGAAGAGGATTGGTGGCAATTTTTCTTTTACTGTAGTAATTTTTAAAATTCAAACATTCCCCATTTTTTTATCACACCCTGTATTCATTTACATGTACAAAATTCTCCAATAAAAAATAGGGTTTGTACCTTCTTACATAAGGACACTACTAAAATGAATGATTCTTCTGGCTGTTTTCCTGGCAGTGAAGGGCAGAGATGCTATAATTCATTTAGTTACAAGAGGATTCATCATTAAGAGCAGAGACTCCTCCACCTTTGACCCTATCACTCCTCAAATGCCAGAGCCAAATACCTACAAGCCACACACAAAGAAGTTGAGAGCTGTTATTTAATTGCCATCAGATATTTGGCTTAATGTAAAATATTACCGTATTCTCAGCTACTCAGCATTTATTTGTTTATTGTCACATATTCTGCCAGTGTTAGGTCTATAATGATGAAAAACTTAGATACAGCCTCAGGTAGTAACATAGTCACAGTGTAGTACAGCCCTTGCTGATTAAAAGCAATATATTAGTGCAATAGGGTGCTATAGACATGAAGGGGCACCTGAAGTACACTACTTAGGGATATGAGAGGTCGGGAAGCCCTTACCAAACGAGATACACAGATATTGGCCAGAGTACAGATGGGAAGAAATTGAGGGGAAAGAGCCTGGTGAAAATGTTTTGCTCTAAGGTCACATTTATAAAACTTAGAACACTGAATATGCTGAGAGGAGTATCTGACTTCCAAAAATACACTCATGAAACCAATACAGTGGTTTGTCTTTAAAAGCAAGCAGCTCTATTGGAAATTCTATTATCAAAGAATTTGCTTACAACTAGGAAGAAGGTATAATACAATAATATTAGACTGGTAACTTGGTGTATGATGACAGAAAAGTAGAATAAATTTAAGAGTAATGTAAAGGAAAAGAATAAAATTAAAGTCCTCTGTAAAACTGAAAGTTTATATTTAATCAACTAAGTGCCAGTAATATTATGCTCAACTATTCAGGGTCATGTTGATAATTATATAAGCATCTCATCTACTGTCATAAAAAAATATGGGGTAAGATTTTAAAGAATTCTAAATCAAGTGCTAATAACCTAAATCCAATCCTATATCTACATAATTATTTAATATAGAGAAAATTAATTTGAATTGTATTTTTTGGAAACCTAATAAAATGATTCTCAAATTCATGTAGACTATTAAATGCATAATAATAAATAAGATAATATTTAAAGAGAAGAATATTTATGTATTTATACTAACATAAATAAGTATGTATAAGTTAAAACGTGAAACTATTAAAATGTATGAGCAAAAGTAGAAAAAAATGAGAGCCTAGAGCCATATAACAGTTGCATTACAGAAATGATTATCCACTATAACTTGTTGGGAGGAAAATTAAGCAAAATAAAATAAATTCTGGATAAAAGAGTTAAATGTAAAAAAATGAAGTAATTGAAGATCACTTTAAAATGGACAGAAGACATAGATAATTAATAAAATTAATAGAAATAATAAATTTATGAGCAAAGTGCTCAACCACAGTAATAATCAAAGAAATACAGACACAAAAGTCAAACACAAAAGCAGATTTTATCAAAGTATTGATTTTTAAATGGTAATGCTTAATGTTGATGAAGTTTGGAAGAAGAGTTGTGAACTCTTCTATACTACTGATACAATTTCAAATAGATACAATATTTTGATAATCTGATAAAGCTTATCCAACACTTGAAATATTCTATTTCCTAAGCAGCTCCACTTCAAGAAAATTAAGGTATGAACATAATTAGGCTCATGCAAAAGATCTTATTATAAGGATATTCAATGAAGCAATGTTTAGAACAGAAAAAGAATTTAAAACCATTTACAGTAGATTCAAGAGGAACTGGTTCAAATCATAATTTTACATAAGTACATGTATTAATGTACATTCATTAAACAGATTGTTTTAGATAAAATTTATCTTTGTTGTGGAAAGACCTTTCCGATCATGGTGATAGGTAGAAAAGCAACTTGGAAATAAACATGTGTGGGTTGACTTTCTTGTGCTGAGTTGTCTGCCTCCTAATTCATATGTTGAGTCCCCGAGTGACTCAGAATGTGACTTCTTCACAGGTAGTACTGTACCTTTAAAGAGGTAGTTAAGGTAGAATGTGGTGATACAGGTGAGCCTTAACTCAAGATGACTAGCGTCCTTATAAGAAAAGATTAGGACACACATTGAAAAATGCACAGAAAAAAATAGTGTGAGAACACAACAAAAAAGGCAGCAATCTACAGGCCGAGAGATCAAACCTCCTAACACCTTGAGTTTGAACTTCTAGCCTCTATAACTACAAGAAATATTTTTGTTAAATCACAAATATTTTGTGGTTAAGTTTCAATGTTAAGTTGGCCTTTGTTATGCACTAGCAAACTAATAGCGCATATTTTATAAAATAATATTTATGCCAAAATATATATAGATATATCTAGAAGACTCTTGGCTCAGCATAAAACGTTTGTGTTTATCTGTATCTTTTACATTCTCTCTTATGAAAAAACATCACTTGCATAACTTTAAAAGTTTTAATTGAGTATTACTTATCTTCAACATACCTCTTTACCTACTGAATCTGGGTTTTATCATTTCATTTCTATTTGTCCACAGAATGCTCAAGCTTTGTTTCACGTGATAAAAATTAGTTTTGATTTTACCACATAGGTTATTCTTATAGTAGTCCAACTTGTTTGTTTTTTGCCTTATTTAGCATCTCAAATATAATTTGACCGCAACCCAAAATACTGACTCAAAATATTATACAGACTATGGTTTAAAAAAAGTATATAAGTCATATTCATTGGCATCTCTTAAAACTCTACTTACTGATTTTTCTAATCACAGACTTAGCCCAGCTGGTCCAAACATCAGGAATGTACCTGGTGTAAAGGGGGAACCTTAGGTTATCCAAGACTGAATTCTATCTATTAAACGTGATCATTAACATTCTAACAGTTTCAAACAAAGAAAATGTGCTCTATTAAAAGTGGAGCCTCACCGTGTGAAAGAGACCAGCATAATGAATGCCAGGTTATCCAAATGCCACTTCTCTATATGAATAAAAAAATAGCAAACCACCAACAGTGTTATCAAACATGTAAAGAAATAAATTAGAGATCAGGTAGTTTTACTTATTTTTCTTTGAAGTATTCTCCTTTATTCCAACCATTTAGAAAGCAAATTAGGTTCTACAATATCATAGTTACTGAGATGCAGATAATACTTTTCCTCTCTATGTTTTGGATGGTAATTGTTCCCAGCATTCCTAAAGGTGAAAGAACAGGGACCATTTCTATTGTTACTCATGATTCAAATCCCAGGATAAAAATATAAAATTTTACTTGGTAAAATACATTCCATAGGGGATAGGGATCAGGGGAGTGTCAAGAAAATTTTGTCAAAATGCATAACTTTGTGATGGTTTATCATGATCTGAGGATAAAATTGAGAGAATTATCCAGATGATTTGTCAAGGAAAGGTCAAATATCCAAATGTTTTAATGCATTTAGAAAATTACTTTTTAAGCTTTTTTCCATGGTATTAAAACTATGCCATAGCAGTGCCTGTATAAGAAAGAAGAGAAATATGTGGAACTCCCAAGCCATACCAAATTTTCTGTAATGTGCATCTTGAGAACATGTGTTTGCAGTAATAAAAATGATCAGCCCAGAATGAAAGGAATGAGAAACAACACCCCCCAGGGATTTTATTGTCTGTCTGGATTAAACTATAGCTCATCAAGCAAAGCACACTGTACAAAATGATCCAGAAGAATATGGAGGGGTTGGTGAGCAGAGACTCATTACAACCAGCATGAAGAGCACAACAGGAAAGCAGGCTGGTGAGGAGTCCTTCTGCTGACTGTCATGTGGACCCAGAGACAGAAGTCACAAGCTAACTGGGCTCAAAGGAGATGGGTGGCATGTGCAGATAGAGGTAAGGACATGGATAAGACACACACACATACCACTTAATAGAGTTTTAGGTGTCTAAGCACACATTAAACTCCTCATTGCTTCTATAAATCCAGTTTTCTGTATGTGCTGTCATGTACTAAGCTCCAGTAGATAAAAATTCCTATTGAGGATCATCATTTGCTTCCTAGATCTTCCTAGAAGCAAAGGTAATATTTGTATCTGTATGGATAAATAAGAAAGCTATTTCATCAAAACTAACTGATCTACTTAATAAAATAGGCA